CATGAGCAGTAGAAAACTACTGTTTAAAAATAGCTATGCGTCACGAAATTGCTAGCCCGATAAAAATGTGTTGGGTAAGCAGAATCTTCCTGGGACATTTATGGTCAGCTCTGGGCATCCTTTTCAGTTTTAGTGGTACGGCAAGGACAGGGCCACCCCTGACTATGAGCTTACTATGGATTGGAAGCCAGCTAAGGGGACACAAAAGGTGGGAGTGGTCAGACAGGTAGGAGAACGAGGAGAGAAGGGGGCCTGAGAAACCCAGAGAAGCAAGAGTATCCAGGAGGAGCGGGTCAGCATGGAGTTCAGGAAGGATGGGAACTGAGAGAAAGAGCATTGGATTTGGTCATTAAGAGATTATTATTGAGCTCAATGATCTTAGAAAGGCATGGAAAGACATATACATGTGTCTCTGTGTGTGTGTATATATACATGCATATATATATACATATATATATATATATATATATATATTTATACATATGGTAAAGAGTGAAATGAGCAGAACCAAGAGAACATTGTATACGGTAACAGCAATAGTTTCAAGAATGACTTTGGGTAAATAATTTATTTTGTCTATTATAAAATACACAAACTAAAAATAAAGGACAGATAAAAAAAGATGCTATCTGCATCCAGAGAAAGAAGTGATAGTTAGAAGTATGTGTAGAATAATTTTACAGATATGTATATATATATATATATATATATATATATATATGTGTGTGTGTGTATGTATACATACACACACACATATGTACAGTGATGTGTCTGATGGTAGCCATATCTAGAGCAGAATAGGAGGGAAGAAAAAAAGGGGGGAAAGAAATTTACATGAAAACTTTATATTTTATTTATATTTAATATATTAATTATATAATTATATAATAATTAACTATATATTTCTATATATTTAAAAGAAATAGCAAGTTGTATGTAATAGATTTGTAGTTTCACGTGCAATCCATCTTTTTCTGTTATACTGTGTTATGGAGATGCTTGTCTTATTCCATAAAAGTATAATAAGTCTTAAAAAGAGAGAGATTCTTACAGCTATCAGAGACTGACTCTGGAGAGAGCAGTTTCAAAAGAACTGGAAACCAGAATTCAAAGATTTTGGAGTGAGTGAAAAGAGAAGGAGAGAAAAGAATTGTAGACAGCTAGGATTTTGACTGAGAAAGGGAAGATAGAGGACCACAACTTGAGGGGATGGTGGGCTTAGTGAAGGCATTTTTTAAGGGTAGAACTGACTTGGGACCATTTGAGAGCAATGGAGAAGGAACTAATAGAGAGAGAAAGATAGAAGATGGGGGAGGGGCACGATTGAGGGGAAAATCAGCCGAAGAAAATAGGAGATAGGATTGAAGGCATATGGAGAGATTTGACGTTGGCCAGAAGAAGGGCCACTCTTGTCAAAGAAAAAAATCACAGAGAATCATGTTTCCAGCTTAGATCAAAAAGCATCAACGTAGACTGGCCCTTCTGTGGCTCGCTCCCCAGTTTCAGGTCACAAATCCCACCCGAGGAGGGGCCCTGTGTCTCAGGGCAGTGGTCCAGGGTCTTGGGCTGTGCAGTGAGAAGGAAGAAAATACACAACCAAGCAACAGTTGTGTGGTTCAGATCCCAAGCATCTTCAGTGCCAGCCTCCAGCTCGGACCAAAGCCTCTGGTGGACTAACCGGGGCAGGAATCCCAGAACAAAGGGAAGCCTGCCCTTAAGGATACCCCAGGATAACTGTTATATTCTAACGTGCAGGGCTGATTTGCGTGTCCCCTCAGAACTCAGTCATCATCAAGGTCATAGAGGAAATCTAATGAGACAGGTGGCCGAGGAGGGGGCTTGTTACATTTTGATCATCTTAGAGGAAGAGAGGAAAGGGTAGAATAGGATGGGAGAAGTCATCTCACACAATCCAAGTATACGAGAAATGTGTGGGTACAAGGACCTCACTCTCCTCCGGGCTAGTCTAGAGGGGAAAATACGTGTGGTTGGATACAGAAATATGTTTCACTCAGCAGGAAAATAGGAGAGAGTGGGGAGAATAAAAAGGAGGACAGAGTAAGGAAGGGATTAGTCCTAAGCAAAACAGACTCTAAGCAAGGATGTACAGAAATGTTTATGGAAAGAAATCTGTGGTGGCACAAACCAAGAAACTGGGGTGGGGTTGGGGGGGTGCTCACCAGTTGGGAGGGGTTTGGGTTAAAGGGGATGGGAGTACGGGACAGGTAAATCGGGGTGGGGATGGGGACAGAGAAGGGGTTTGAATGATCATGCTGGGGGTTCACTGAGGGGGGCATGTTTGGAGAGGGAGAGTCTCAGCCCTTGAGGGATGACTTCAGGTACACTGTGGACGTTCACAGAAGTCTTTCTTTGTTGCTATACGTCACCATCTTCCTGTGGCTCTTTAATTTTCTGTAATTTTTAAATGGAATTTTATTTTATATTCAAACAAAGATCCTTCTCTCCCTCCCCCTGCTTTCCCCCTACATTGAGAAAACAAGAAAAAATAACACCCCTATTGTCAACATGTGTAGTCAAGCAAAACACGCAAGTGTTTTAGACCAGGGAGGGGCTAGTCCTGGTGTGTTCTGTTATGATCGGATCAAATCTAGCTGACTCAGTGGATAACACAGCACTGCACTTGGAATCAGAAAGACCTGAGTTCAAACCCAGCCTTACACACTTACTAACTGTGTGACTCTGGGCAAGCCAACTTAACTGCTATCAGCCTCAGTTTCCTCATCTGCAAAATGGGGATGAGAACCGCACCTCCCTCCCGGGGTTGTTTCAAGAATACAATGAGATAATATTTGTAAAGCGCTTTGCAAACCTTGCCTCACTATATAAATGCTAGCTACCTTAGAATATCGTGTTTGGTTCTGGGCTCTGGATTTTGGGAGGACATTGATAAACGGAAGTGTGTCCATGTGGTGAATGGCCTCAAGATTGTGCTGTATGAGGACTGGTCGAGCCAGCCTGGGAAAGAGAAGTGTTGGGAGGGTAGGATATCGGTCTTCAGGCTGTCAGGGAGAAGAAGGGTTAGGTTTGTTTTGCCTGGCCCAGGAGGGCAGAACTATGACAAATGAGTAGAAGCTGCAGAGCAGCGAATTTAGGCTTGATATAAAGAAAATTTCACAATGAGAGCTGTCCCAAGGCTGAGCTCCCTGTGGCGGGGAGTGGGTTTGCCTTCCTGAAGGGGTCCCACTCCAGGCTGGAGGAATTCTTGTCCAGGTGCTGATTGTGGTCGGGTGTGGGCTAGCCTGACGTCGTCACTGGGCCTCCCCTCCTCCCACTGAGAATCTGTGGCTGAAGATTTGTTGATGATGACAAGGGGAAACAGAAGGACTCTTTGGCCTTGGAAGGTTGGAATTTAGCATTCTGACTGCATCGAAAAAAACTGGTCTCTTGACGGCTGCGCCAGTCTGTGGTTGGCAAATACAGCTCAGCTGCTACTTTCTCTCATTTCTTTAACAGAGTTTTAAAGAAAAATTCTGACTTTTCTGTTCAGGCTTGAGTAGAATTGCTAATGGCTGATGCAGAAAGTAGCTATATTTTCTGCCTGGTTGAATGATCAGAATACAAATTACACCATTATGTGCCCTCCTATTATTGCTCATGTTTCTGAGAGGATTCTGCCTGGATGATTTTACTATATCGAGTTTTTATTAAAGGGAAAGCGGCTTGTAAATTGTGCTTCGGGTAAATTGATTTCATCTTAAATTGATGCTATAAAATCGTGATTTTCTTCCTGTATTTCTAGAAGTTATGGTTTTTCATTGCTTCACTTCTCAGAAAGATATTTTGATTCACATGATGAATTAGGAAACGTGTGGTTTACTGTCTTCCTACCATCATCTACGAGAGTTGTCTAACAAATTAGAGGTCTTGTTTTTCTGAATGCAAACCGGCTCACGGAACCATAGATTGAAAGTTGGAAGGGACGTTGGAAGGCGTCCAGTTCAACCACCACGTTTTAGGGATGAGGAAAGCAGGGTTCCGAGAGGATTTACATGATGGGATGCTTTTTTAAGGCTCGAAAAGCGCATTATGTGCTCATTGGATCCTCACAAGCCACCCAGTTAGGTAGATGAGGAAACGGAGGCTGAGACAGGACTCTGGCTCAGGTCTCCTGATCCCAGGGCCGCTGCATCACCTGGTCACCTCGTGGACATGAGTCATTCCTCGATGGTCGTAGGGTCCAACCACCGATGGGTCACGGCCTCGAACAAGCATCCAGTCAGACTGAGAGTGCTGCTGAGTAGGGTAAGGGAGGTGTGGACCCAAATGAGTTTTTGACGTCCAGAGGAAGAGACCTCCTTACTTCTGGGGGGAGTGTTGTTCTTTGTCCTTCGTTCTCAGAGAGGACCAGGACATCAGGAAGACGGTGCCATGACTTGCAAGTGAATTGGATATAAGTGAGGGAGGCCTGTGCAAAGTCCCAGCCTCACTCTCTCCTCCAGAGCTCCTATCTGGGTCCAGTGCTAAGATATAGATCGGGATGAAAGGAGGAAAGAAGGAAATAGCATTTATATATAATTTAATATAGCTAATTTATAGCTATTTAAATAGCACCTACTGTGTGCTAGGCACTGTGCTAAGAGCTTTACAAATATTATCTCATTTGATTCTCCAAACGACCCTGTGTTGTTATTATCCCCATTTTGCAGCTGAGGAAACTGAGGCAGACAAGTTAAGTGACTTGCCTAGGGTCCTACAACTAGTAAGTGTCTGAGGCAGGATTTGAACTTAAGTCTTCCTGAGATGCTTATTCATCTCTGGTTCAGTGAAATGGCTGAATACTAAGACACTGAAAAAGGCCACTTGACATCCTAGAAGGGAGTGGTTTCTCTCCCTCTCTGGTTCCACACGAAACTTTAATTCTAATAAATTAGAATTCTGGGGGACAGTGGAATCTTAAAGATTGTGAGACAAAACCTGGAAAAGTTGCTTGCCTTGTTCTTGGCTGCTCTCTGGGCCTAATCTTTTCTTCTTTTTCACAGCGACCTTGAGGCTGAATGGTCGGACAGTGTGCAGAAATACGGGGAGCTATTTTATCTAGAGCTGAGTGACAGTGAAGAAGAAAGTCTCCTCCCAGAAACGCCAGCTGTGAACCATGTCAGGTTCAGTGAAAATGAAGTCATCTTTGATGAGGATTATCTCAGAGAAGGAAGAAAATATGAACCCAGACTCAAGAAGTTTTCCAAAATTTTGAAAAGCCGAAGACTTTTGCCAAAGCGTTACAATAAAAAAAACAGCCACGGACCAGTATCAATCCTAAAGCATCAGCCCACGCAGAAAATGGGCGTCATCCTTCAGCAGCGGTACAAGGACGTGTCTGTCTTTGTAAACCCCAAAAACGCAACGGCCGTAAAAGCGAAAGAGCATCTCAAGCTTCTGGAAGTGTTGCTGGGAATCATTCACCAGTCTAAATGGAGGAGAAGAGCCGAAGGCGCCGACAGAGCGAAACTCATAGTGCACGGCTTAGTCCCAGGAGGCCCAGCCATGAAGAGTGGCCAAGTGTTGATCGGTAAGTATCCCTCTCTGCAGATGTGGAACGAGATGGCAATCCTATCGGTCCTGAGCAACACGCAGGAATGTTCCCGTGGGCTCGGGTCAGGGAGCACCAGGAGAAGAGATGGTCGGTGGTCCAGCGAGCCAGCTCTCGTCTCTGAAATAAAAACACAAAGTAAGCAACTGGGGAGGCGTGGCAGAGAGAGTGCATGTGTGCAGATGAGATATGTTTTCATGCTTCAGTAGTTCAGAAGATCTGTGTTTCACTCATGCTTCTGCCCGCATAGAGCTCAAACCCTTCCATAGCCTGGTACGTGGGTCTTCAGAAGCTGTGGTGGCTAAAATGTTTGTCGTCTGGTTCAGATACCTCTCTAAATTCAACTAGGCTGGTCCTCAGACAGCTCCAAAGGGTCTGTTACTGTGCAGGGAGCCAAGGGCCAAGCTTCTCTGGGGAAGGCTTTAAGAATCCAGGGTCACCACACCGTGGTGAGGGATGGCATTGGGCATCAGGGACCCTACACAGGGATGTGTGCACATCTGTGTGTGTATGCATTGTGTATGTGTGTGTGTACATGTGTGTATACATGTGTATGTATGTGCGGATCCTGTAGGTATATTTCCATGTGATTTGTCACACAGGAAACCATTTAACTAGGAATGCAGTTCTCCAAGTCTGGAGATGCCACAGTCTTAGCCTGGCTATAGCTACCTCCATAACAAGCCAAGCCCGCTAATAGATGGGAAAAGTTTAAGGTTTGCCCAGTATCATATGATACAGAGTGTATAATTTATGAATAGAAATGCTTCTAAATTAGACATCCGCCCTTGAGAAAACGCTGAGTTCTTAGAGTGGTGTTATGTACTTTCTAGCAGCAGTGTTATCCACAGGTTAGTTTTCGGAATGCTCATCTTGGAGGAAAGAACTCTGCCAGTCACAAAGTCAAAGAAAGGATCCACAGATGGTTGTCTTTTTGCCTCGCTTAGTGGATTGAGACGTGTGAGTACCCGCCATGGCAGCCAGCAGAAGGCACGTTGCCCACATGAAGCTGAAGGAGGCCTTTCCCAGATTAGAGGGTCAGGAAGGAGGAGGAGTTCTGCAGATGGACTCAGCCTCAGAAATAGGGGGGAGGAAGCCCAGCATGTAAAAGTGCTTAGTGCATTTGCAGTGGTTCCTGGCTTTTGTGTCTTTTCTGTGTGCTCTGGTGAAGTTCCTTCTGACTGCCGTGAGTGAAGAATGGGAATCATGTGGACTGTATTTGTATTTTGGCCTTCTCCTGGGTGAAGTTAGAATTCTACCATAGATAATCTTTCTGATTAAATTTTCTGAACAATTCCCTAGCCTGTCAACTAGCAGAGGATTCATTAATCTGCTCATTTTCCACACTTTTTGGAAACATTTTCATTTCCTTTCTGGTTCTTTCCTCTATTATTCTCATGTCATTTATAAGACTGTGTCTCAGTCTTGCTTCATTTCCTCTGGGCATTCTTATTGACCCTGCAGCCAGGCTTTTCTTTTTCCTCGAGTCCTCACTTACACTTTTGCAGTTATTCTCATCTTTGGTGTCTACGCCTTGTTGTCAGTTCTTTTCCACAGGAGTCTCTTCTTATCTCCTCCTTCCACCCTTATAACTTTGTGTTGCAGCTAGGAACTCTGCAATTCTAGCGAGAACTCCACGGTCTTGTATCGTTTGGGTCCGTGCTGTCTTGGGTTCTGCCGCTAAGTTCCATGGGTTTGATCAAGTCCTTCTTCAAGCATCGTAGGGGTAGTGCCACAGACATTCAGTGGGCACGAAGTGGTCTTAGGTTAGAAACAATATGAATCCTGCTTTTGTAGGTCTAGGCAACAGAACCATAGCCTTGCCCTGCGTAGAATTCCAGAAGAAAGTCTTGTGCCTTCCCCAGGCTGCGTAGAGTAGGGGCTTGCTATATGCGTGTTGATTAAATAAATGAATTTGTCGTTCAGTCATTTTTCAGTGACCCCATTTGGGGTTTTCTTGGCAGAGATACTGGAGTGGTTTGCTGTTGCCTTCTCCGGCTCATTTTACAGATGAGGAAAGAGAAGCAAACAGGACTAAGTGATTTGTCCAGGGTCATACAACTAGTATCTGGGGCCATATTTGAACTCGGGTTTTCTTGAGTCTAGGCCTGGTGCTCCATTCACGGGGCCAGCTCGCTGCCCCAGGTGGATGAATAGTGCAAGGCAAATGTTTGTGGCATAAGATTGTACTTGACCATGTGTCACCTTGGCCAGCCCATCTGTTGTGACTCATTTCTTCCCTGCAGAGCTGAGCCCTGGTCCTTCCTGTCCTTTCCTCATTCACGTACAGCTGAGGTGAAGATGAGAGTAAAAGCTAAATTTAAAGGGTGACCGTGAAGTGCCAAGAGAGCCATGCCAAGTGCGAGGGACTATTTTTAAACATCATCTGATTCTTTTGGCTGCTCCCGGCCCGTTAGCCTCCTGGGCAGTTCGTTTGATTTTTCCTTCATCTCTCAGACTTTTATAGGCATAGTCATAGCCGTGATCTAACTTGTGTTCTGTTGATCAGGGGCCACATTTACCTACTCACTGTCGTGCTTGGGGAGCTCCCCGAGGACAGAAACCCTGGTGTAATTATCTCTCCGTCAGCCAACAAGCATTTATTAAGGGCCTGCCACGTACCAGGCACTGTGCTAGGCACTGGGGACACGGGGACTGAGAGTGAGACAGTCCCTGCACACTAACAGGGACAACAGGTGCGCGTAACAGAGGCAGCATAAAGTGAGCAAACACAGATCCATATGTAGGGGTTATGAAATACAAGGTGACTTGCGAGGGAAGACCCTAGGAATTGGAGTGAGTCATATAGAAGGTTGTAAGGGGGCAGACTGTCCTGCCCCAATTATGCCAATCATCAGGTGGCAAACAAAGAAAGAGGGGCTCATACCAGCTTAGTTATTAATAGATTTTATTAGGGTTAATTAGGTTAATTGGGTTTTTAAGGCAGTTTACTCACAAGAGGCCAGTCGCACTGGGCAGCAGCAGGACAAAGTAGCAGCGTGGATCCTCACACCACCCCTAGGCCAGGTAGGGTATTACAAAGAAATGGAACAAAGAAGGCAGAGGGCTGGGATGGCCCAGGGTCACCTGCAAGTTTTCCTATTGGATAGTTGGAGCCTCTTTTGCTGTTTACGTTTACTCGAGGTGTTTACATTTTTCTGTGGAGTCGTAGGTCACGTTCCCATTCTGGCCTCCCCTCATACAGAGGTGAGATTTGAAGGGAGAGAGGGACTTGATGAGGTGGAGGTAATGAGGGAGGCATTTTAGGAATGTGAGGATGACCACTGAAAAGGCACAAAGGTGGGAGATGTCCTCTGTGAGTTAGCAGAGAGAAGCCCGTGGGCCCAGAGCTCAGGAGGGGGAGTCACGCCCGTGGAGGCTGGTAAGGTAGGTGAGGAACAGGCTGTGCTGGGCTTTAAAAACTAAACAGAGGAGTTCATATTTTATTGGTCAATCAACAAGCATTTATGGGCCAGGTACCATATTAAGCTCTGGGAATATCATGAAATGCCCAGCATGATGCCTTGGTGTTTATCCTAGAGGCACTAACTAGGAAGGCAGGAGCGAATTGATTCGGGGAGTCACAGGATCAGATCTTCATGAAAGGAAGATTAGTTTGTCAGGATCTAGGATGGACTGGGTGGCAGAAGACTTGATACAGGGAAACCAGTGAAGAGGCCACCCTGGCCACGTAGTTGACAAGTGATGAAGCCTTGAGCTGAGACGGCAGCTTGGTGTGAGTGGAGAGAAGGCGTCAGAGATCTGAGACCTTCTAAAGGCAAAAACAGCAAGACGGGCAGCTGGCTGGGTGTGCGAGTGAGGGAGAGGGCGAGGCATCCAGGATGACATCGAGGGGGTGAATCTGGGAGACCTGAAGGATGAGGGGCCTTCGACAGAAATAGGGGAGGCTTGGGGGGAAGACTGTGGGTTCTGTTTGGGGTGGTTGGTCACGCTGAATTTAAGATTTCTCCTGGACGTGTAATCAGGAGTAATGATGTGGGACTGAAGCTCAGAGGCGAGAAAGGCACTACACACCCACAAATATGGATGTATAACACACCTATGTTTGTGTGTGTGTCATCTGTAGAATGGGGATAATAATAACACCTGCCTGCCAGCGCTGTTGGGGGGAGTGAATGACAAAATTGTAAAGTGCTAATTTAGCACAGTGCCTGGCAAATAGCAAGTGCTTTATAAATGTTAGTTATACTTATTATTATTATTATTATTATTATTATTATTATTATTATTATTGTCTGAATAGAAATGATAGTTAAATTCAGGAGAATTGATGAGGTTTCCTGCAGAGAGTGTTGAGGGAGAAGCAAGGGGGAGGGGAAAAGAGAGGAGGGGAAGGAAGGAAGAGGAAGAGGAGACCACAAAGGTAGACAGCTTTTTCAAGGAGTTTGTCTGAGAAAGGGAGAAAAGATAGCTTTGAAGGGCTCATGAAGGTTTCGGGGGAAGCATGGAAGAGGTGGGCATGTTTGAAGGCATTCGGGAAGGAGCCAGTCAGCAGGGAAAGATGGAAGATGAGGGATAGGGGGTGACCAAGGGGACCATCGGCTGGGGAAGACAGGAGGAACTAAGACCACAGACCCACGGAGAAGTGTTAGTTGCTGACCTTGGGGGAAGGGCCACCTGCTTGTGTTATAGAGTGAGAGATGATGTCAAGGGAAGGGAGGAAGAGGGAACTCGATGCTTATCACAAGGATTAGCACATGGAAGACAAGAAGTATCTGTCCAACGAGGGAGGATAAGAATTTGTTTTTAGAATCTGTCTTCAGCTGCAGTTTTATGGATACAAAAGTAGAAAAGTAACGTTTTGAACAGTAGCTAAGTTGGCACATTGTTGAATTGAATGACGGCACAAAGCCAGCCTTGTGGCTCTCAATAGAATGCCTGGTTGTTCTTGCCCGTGGCTTTCTCACTTTGTAGCAGCCCTCAGGCTCTCTCTGTATCTATACAGTCAGGTCCCTGCCACTCCATGAGGCAAGGGGGAGGCCTCTGCTCATATTTGTGGAGAAAGGTATTGAGCAAGGAGCAGGCAGCCTCTTGGGGAGATCTGAGCACCTGACAGCCTTCCTCATCAGCCAGTTTCCGTTCAGCTTTTCTGGTGTTCTGTGAAGACATTTATTGGGGCTGAGTGTGGAAATGAGAACGAGGAGGGATGTCTTTGGCAAAATCTAAAGAGTTTCTACAAGAAAAAAATTTTCTTGGAATATAGGTACAATATACAGTGATTAAAAATTTATTTCATGTTGTTGCTTTTCAAATGTCCATGTCTGTAGTTTCATTAGTACAGGTGACTGACAGTGTGGAAACACCCTCCACCAATGTAGATCAGCAGCTCTTCTGCTGTTCAGTGCCAGGTTTGATAGGAAACTTCTGAGAGAGGCCTTCCCGTTGGTCTTTGTACACACGTCCACACGCACGCGGAGGGAATTTCCCAGGTCTTTCATCTTCAGTCATAGCATGGGACTCCATGTATGAGGTTTGGAGAGATAGTAGATGTGGGAATCATCAGTAAAGAGGTGATAGTGGAACCTGTGGAAGCTGATGAGATCACCAAGTGACTTAGAATAGAGGGAGAAGAGAAGGGGCCCCAGGACAGAGCCCTGAGGGGCAAGAGAGTGTGATCCAGAGGAGAATCCAGCCAAGGAGGCAGAGAAGGAAAGGTCAGAGAGGGAGGAGGAGAACCAGGAGAGAAGGGGGGGTGTCCCAGATTGAAGAGAGACCGAGAAGATGGTGACTGACATGTAGAGAGGTCAATAAGGATGAGGAATGAGAAAAGGCCATCGGATCTGGCAGTGAAGAGATTGGTAACTTTGGAGAGAGCAGCTTCGGTGGAATAGAAGGTAAGAAGCCAGACGGCAGAGTTTAGAAGTGAGAGGAGGGAGGTGGAAGCAGCTTAGCCACAAAGAGAGGAGAGATACGAGGTGGTGGTGGGGATGGATGGATCACATGAAGGTTTATTGAGGATGAAGGTGACACGGGCATATTTGTAGGTAGTAAGGAAGCATCCCTAGACAAGAGATTGAAGATGAGTGACGGTGGGGCTAATGGAGGGAACAGTCTGCTGCAGAAGACAGGATGGAGTGGGATCACTCAGTCAGATAGGGGGGCTTGCCTTGGCAAAGAGAAGGGCCATTTCATCCTATGAGACAGGTAAGAAGAAGGCAAGTGGCAGAGGCATCAGAGTGATGGGAGGAGGAGGGGGGGGGCTCTTGGCCAATGGCCTCCATTTTTTAGTGAACTGTGAGGCAAGATTCTCCACTAAGACAGTTTAGGGAGGGGAGAGATGGGAAGGTGGCTAGATGGCGCAGTGCGTAAAGCACTGAGCCTGGAATCAAAAAGACTCATCTTCCAGAATTCAAATCTGGCCCCAGACATATACTAGCTGTGTGACCCTGGGCAAGTCACTTATCCCTGTTCGCCTCCATTTCCTCATCAGTAAAATGAGCTGGAGAAGGAAATGGAAAGCCATTCCAGTATCTTTGCTCAGAAAACCCCAAATGGGGTCACAGAGAGTCAGATATGACTAAAAAGAGACGGAACAATAACAATAAGAAGGTTTGGAAGAGCTGCTGTGGAGCGTGGAGAGAGAGCGCATTGGTAAGGGAGGTGCGGTAGGACTGCCTCGCGGCGGTGAGGGTTTGGTGGACACTGGGTAGCCCAGATTTGTAGTGGATCCAAGCAGCACGATTTTCTGATCTTCTCCAGCTTTCTTCAGCAGTACACGTGTAGAAACAAAGACAGTGTGTGACGGGAGTGATCTGAGGCTGAGGCTTGGCAGGGCAAAACTGGTGGTCCAGTAAGGGAACAGGACTAAGGAGAAGGGGATAGTGCCTTGTTGACTCAAGGGGTCAAGATGAGAAAGTAAGGAGAGTGTAGCCAGTGCAGGAGAGATGCCCTGGGAAAGAAGTGAGGGCTGGGAGGCAGTGCAGGTCCTGGTGAGGATGAAGAGCAGGGTTTGGAGAGGGAAGAGGTAGAATGACAGCAGATTGTCATCAGGGTTTGTGAACGTGGAATTGGTGCATTTGTGGGTGATGGCAAGATCTTGGGTCTGACCACCTTTGTGTGTGGCTGAGGTGGGGTGAAGAAGGAGGTCATGGGAAATGAGGAGAAGGTACTGGCCTGGGAGTTAAGGGACCCGGGAGTCACTGCACTTCTCTGGTACATGTCAAATGAGGAGGGTTGAACTAAAGGATTTCCAAGGTCCTTTCCAGCCTTTAAATCCCGTGATTCTGTGGCTCTCCTCACTTTCTTTCATGCTCTTGTTTTCAGGTGATACCCTTGCCGCTGTAAACGACGTGGATGTGACCTCAGAGAACATAGAGAAAGTTCTATCTTGCATTCCAGGCCCTATGCAGGTACCATCCTTCTGTCTATTATTCTGAATGTTTAACACTTTTAAAGTTGTCTCTTAAAGACATAGTAATACCAAAAAGCCTGATGTATTCTCTTCACATTCTGATCTTTTGCGTTCTGGAAGTTTTAAAATTTCAGGTTTGAATAACATGATTCCCTTTTTTATTAGAGGTGGGCATTGTTTCTACAAATAGAACTCTTCTTTAGTGAAGCAACGGCAGGGAATTACATTATGATTGCACGAGGATCTAGTTAGTAATCATAGAAACTGTCCTTTTAAGCCAGCATAGACAGGCACTGTTTTCTGACATCATAAAATCTCTATAATCATGTAAGTTATGTCAGCAGATGGCTGGGGATTTTTTCACTTAATTACTCTCTTCTTAAGCCTTCTATCTTTTTGTTTGTTTGTTTGTTTTAGTTTTAATATAAATTTATTTATTTTTAGTTTTCAATATTCACTTCCACAATTTTTTGAGTTCCAAATTTCTCACCCCTTCCCCCCACCCCAAGATGGCATGCATTCTGAATACCCCTTCCCCTGGTCTGCCTTCTCTTCTATCTCTCCCCCCTTCTCTTATCCCCTTCCCCTTCTATTTTCCTGTAGAGCAGGATAGACTTCTGTACCCCATTTCCTGTATTTCTTATTTCCCAGTTGCATGTGAAAACATTTTTTTAAAACATGTGTTTTTAAAACTTTGGTTCCAAATTTTCTCCCTCCCTCCCTCCCGACCTACCCTCATTGAAAAGGCAAGCGACTCAATATAGGTTGTACATGTGCAGTTATGCAAAACACTTCCTTAGTAGACATGTTGTGAAAAACTAACTCTATTTCCCTTAATCCTATCCTGCCCTCCCATTTATTCTATTCTTTCTTTTGACCCTGTCCCTCCTCAGAAGTATTTGCTTCTGATTACCCTCTTTCCCAATCTGCCCTCCTCTCTATCACCCCCTGCTCTCTTGTCCCCTTCTCCCCCTATTTTCCTGTAGGGTAAGACAGATTTCCATACCCAATTGAATGTGTATGTTATTTTCTCTTAAGCCAAATCCTATGAGAATAAGATTCCTCATTCCCTCTCACCTTCCCCTGTTTCCCCTCCACTGTGAGAGACTTTTCTGTTTTTTTTTTGTGAGATAATTTACCCCATTCTACCTCTCCCTTTCTTCTCCGAGTATCATCCTCTCTCATCCCTTAATTTTATTCTCCAGATATGACCCCTTAATCTTCAACTCACCCTGTGCCCTCTATCTATCTATATATACATACATACAATTTTTTTCCTTCAACTACCCTAATACTGACAAAGTTCTCATGAGTTACAAATATCATCTTTCCATGCAGGAATGTAAACAGTTCAATCTTAATAAGTCTCTTATGATTTCTCTTTCCTGTTTACCTCTTCATGTTCCACTGGAGTCCTGTATTTGAAAGTCAAATTTTCTATTCAGCTCTGGTCTTTTCATCAAGAATGCTTGAAAGTCCTCTATTTCACTGAATGACCATTTTTTCCCCTGAAGGATTATACTCAGTTTTGCTGGGTAGGTGATTCTTGGTTGTAATCCTATCTCCTTTGCCCTCCGGAATATTATATTCCATGCCCTGCGGTCCTTTAATGTAGAAGCTGCTAAATCTTGTGTTATCCTGATTGTGTTTCCACAGTACTTGAATTGTTTCCTTCTGGCAGCTTGTAATATTTTCTCCTTGACCTGGGAACTCTGGAATTTGGCTACAATATTCCTAGGAGTTTTCCTTTGGGGATCTCTTTCAGGAGGAGATCTGTGGATTCTTTCAATTTCTATTTTGCCCTCTGGTTCTACTATATCAGGGCAGTTTTCCTTGATAATTTCTTGAAAGATGATGTCTAGGCTCTTTTTTTGATCATGGCTTTCAGATAGTCCAATAATTTTTAAATTCTCTCTCCTGGATCTATTTTCCAGGTCAGTTGTTTTTCCAATGAGATATTTCACATTGTTTTCTAATTTTTCATTCTTTTGGATTTGTTTTACAGTGTCTTGATTTCTCATAAAGTCACTGTCTTCCAATTGCTCTATTCTAATTTTTAAGGAAGTATTTTCTTCAGTAATCTTTTGGACTTCCTTTTCCATTTGGCCAATTTTTCTTTTTAGGGCATTTTTCTCCTCATTGGCTTTTTGGACCTCTTTTGCCATTTGGGTTAGGCTGTTTTTTAAGGTGTTATTTTCTTCAGTATTTTTTTGGGTCTCCTTTAGCAAGCTGTTGACTTGTTTTTCATGATTTTCTTGCATCACTCTCATTTCTCTTCCCAGTTTTTCCTCTACTTCCCTTACTTGCTTCTCAAAATCCCTTTTGAGCTCTTCCAAGGCCTGGGACTGATTCATATTTTTCTTGGAGGCTTTGGATGTAGGAGCTTTGACTTTGTTGTCTTCTTCTGGTTGTATATTTTGATCTTCTTTGTCACCAAAGTAAGATAATATAGTCTGACTCTTTTTGCGCTGCTTGCTCATGATCCCAGCCAATTACTTGAGTTTTAAACTCCTTGTTAAGGTAAGAGTCTGCTTCCAATGTGGAGAGTGTACTGTCCCATGCTTCAGGGGTTTGTGTAGCTGTTTTCAGAGATACTTGTAGGGACCTGTAAATGTTCAGTTCTTCCAAGGTGGTATGATAAGAGGCAAGGTGTTTACTCCTTTCCTGGCCTGTGACCACAAGTATTCCTTTCTGTCCTGTAACTGTGAGGAGGGGTTCCTCTCCACAGCCACTACAAGCTCCACCAGGCCAGCGCTCCTCCTCACCCCCCAGCACTGCCGCCCAGAACTGTGACCCAGATCCAAACACGGGCAAAGCAAGAGATTCCTGCCTCAGCACTGGCAAAGAGATCCCTGCAATCCCTCTCTGATCAGCCAGTGGATTCCCCCTCAGTCTGTGGGCCGGAAGCTCAGGAAGCAGCTGCCCCCCCCCCCAGGGCCAGGCTCTTGGGGAATGGAGCTGAAACCCTGCCTTCCTCTCTGAGCACCCACAGAAACAGACTTTTCCCACTGACCCTCTAAGTTGTCTTTGGCATTCGTGGATTGAGGAGTCTGGAAACCTCCACAGCTGCCCGTGATTCAGTCCTCTGAGGCCTGCTCCAGGTTTGCTGCGGCCTGCGCGCCCACGCTGCGCTGTGCTCCCAGCCAGGCGTGATACACCTTTGTGATCAGTCATCCAGGTTGTCTTGGGCTGGAAATTTGTTTCACTCTGTGTTTTTGTGGGTTCTGCTGCTTCAGAATTTGTTTAGAGCCATTTTTTATGAGTATTTGGAAGGGTTTGGGGGAGAGCTCAAGCAAGTCACTGCTTTCACTCCGCCATCTTGGCTCCGCCCCCCCTTAAGCCTTCTATCACATGGTTTAACCTCACTCTTGAGGATTTTGTTTAGGTACTTACTGTTTTCATACCTTGTACAGTGTTGGAATAGCAGTCTTTCCACTTGCCTGAGCTTCAGCATTTTACCTCAACAATGACCTTGTCTAGGTCACTGAGTACTTTGTAAAAGGGTTGCTGTCCCTTCTCCTGATGACATTACTGTAACCAACTAAGACCACTTGGCTGCCCCTTTTTTGTAAGAGTGCCTAGTGTTGGTTGGATATGAGGAAAATACTTAGAGTCCTCCTCCCAGACAGTATGGAGTGCCGCAGGAGCTGATGGTTGAGGCAGTGAGTGGCAATCAAAACTGACTTCCTCTTGTACAGTTGTTTTTCAGTCATGTCCAACTCTTCATGACCCCGTTTGAGGTTTTCTTGGCAGAGGTACTGGAGTGGTTTGCCATTTCCTTCTCCAGCGGAAACTGAGGTAAACAGGGTGAAGTGACTTGCCCTGGGTCACCAAGCTAGGAAGTGTCTGAGGCCAGATTTGAGTTCAGGTCCTCCTGACTCCAGGCCTGGTGCTCTATCCCCTGCATCACCTTGTTGTCGATCGTAACTGACTATTGTGTTTTAAAATTTGAAGAATAGGTTACCTAATGTTTTCTCACTTGAGCTGCACAAAAACCTGTGAGGTCACTACGCTAGATGCTATTATTTCATTTTTTACAAATAAGTAAACTGAGGTTGCCTGAACAGCCCAGGGTCACATGGCCAGTAACTGTCCAGGGCAGGATTCAAGCCCGGGCCTTCCTAACTCCAAGGATAGCACTCTGTCTGCTATACTCTACTTATAGAGTACTGTCATTCTTTTTCATGGGAAACCATGAATCTCTATTATGTACAACATCTTCTTATATATATATGTGTGTGTGTGTGTGTGTGTGTGTGTGTGTGTGTGTGTGTGTGTGTGTGTGTGTGTGTGTGTGTGTATAAATTCTGTATCACTTTTAAAGCTATTATACTTGTCTGTGTTTCTGTCCAGACTTCCTTCTGTGGATTTTAAAAATGCTGCAGTGACCCTCTTTATTCCTTACCTTTTTTTTTTTGCAAAACTAATGTTAGCTTGCCCCCCCATAATATATGAAAAATACAATCCTTGTGGCAAATAAGCATAATCAAGAAAAACAGACAGATAGATTTGCTAGACCCCAACTGTAGCTCTCACTCTGCACCTTGAACCCATGACCTCTTGTCAGGAGGTAGAGAGCCCACCTCATCAGCAGTCCTCCGGATTCCTGCTTGGTCATTACCTTGGCAAAGTGCTTAAGTCTTTGAGAGTTTCTGGTTATTATAGTGTTGCTGTTCTTACATAAATTCTTCTCTTGGTTCTGCTCGTTTCACTGTACAAGTCTTTTGTTCTGATAATTTCTTATGTCACAGTAATATTCCACGACATTCAGAGACTGTGGCTGGTTCAGCCATTCTCCAGCTGGCAGGCTTTCCCTTGGCTTCTAGCTCTTGGCCACTGCAAGAAGAACCGCTGTTGATGTTTTCATACGTGTGAGACCTTTTCCTTTTTGTTTGATCTAGGCACAAGCGTAGTAGTGGTATTGATGAGTCAAAAGATATGGCCAGTCTAGTGACTCTATGAGTATCAGTCCCAAACCCTTTCCATGATGGCTGGACC